GCCCAACAACAGATATAGCTGGGTGTTATCTGCGTATTGGTGACACCCTAGCCTGTGCCTCTGGGCAATCTGGGCAAGGGGGCGCATGTAGATGAAAAATAACATTGCAGATAGCACCGCTCCTTGGGGAACCTCGCAAGCCAGCGGGTACCTCTGGGACGTCTGCTCCCCCAACGCCACCCTCTGTCCCCAATCCTTTTGTTCAACCAGAAGACACTTCTGCCTATATGCATGTGACCAAGTCTCATCTGGAGCCCCTCATCTTTTGCATATTTTCCCTTATTTGTTTTTATTTGCACTCACATCTTTTTAGACTGTAATCCAGTACACATCACAAACCAAGCAGGTTCACTTGCAAAGTAACATTTTATGTTGTTAAATTGGTGAAGTGATAGGAAAGTACTGCATTTTCCCCAACACTACCTTTTTTGGGGGGGGGAAGCATTTTTTCCCCGTGCCTTCAAAATTTCCAGATTTTTTTTAGATAGTATGAGATGTGGTGAGCTGCAATTGAAGGCAGAATTGGCAGAAATCCCACACAGACACACAAGCTCTGTTGTGCAAGAGCTCTTGGAAAAGCAGGCAGATGCAATTACCACCAATTCCCCTTTCCCATTGCAGCCCTTTGCAGCACATCTCACATGCTCCGAAGAATCCCTCAACCAACAAAAAGTGGGGCAGGGGGCTAGAGCATGAACATTCAGTAAAGATCCCTGCTATGAACTCTACTCCATTTGCAGTTATCTGGAGCCAAGCCAATAGTTGCATGTGCACTAAGGCACCTCCTTGCTGCAGAGCAACCAGTTTTACCTTCCCACGTCCCCCCAGTGCATAGTATGTAGAAAACAGGCCAGACAGCTCCAGAATAAAGTGTGACAGGGTGAGGAAGTGGGCACTTAAACCTAACCATTGCTCTCCATGATTTGATTCCTTTTATTTAAAAATTTGTGTTCTAAAATTTAAGCATTTTATACATTTAAAAACTGAACTGTCTACTTCTATTTTGAAAGTGATATTTTAACTATAGATCAGATTAACGCTGTATGGGCTCTAATATTGCTTGCTCCCCTCTGTGTGTAGTTTCATTTTTATATTTCAAAGACTTTAAAACAAATTGACATAGAGGTTCCTCAGATACTGCCTGTGAAGACTACATTACCTTATCTACTATGAAGAATATATTAAATTAAACTATGTGTAGCAAACCAAAGTGCTAAACTCAAAATTAGTAGAAGCAAGTTCAAATCTCCTTTAAGCAATAAAGGTGGTGCTGAGCTAGTCACTCTGAAACACACTTTCTTTAACTCTTCTATGCTCTTATGAGGAATTGAGAAAAATATATAAAAATTAACCCGAGTTCCTTGGAAGAGTAAGATACAAATGTTATTTATGTGGCGCTGGTAGTATTTGAAGAATTTCACACACATTCTCAGTCATTACAATCACCTGATGACATAGTTATGCCGCATTGTAAACTGAAAACTAGAACTAGTGTAACAGTCTTCCCAGACTACCAAATAACAGACAAACTTTGAAGTCTGAACTTCTCAACTCAGATCTGTGAGGGAAGCAGCAACAATATTTCACATTAGACTTGTGAAAGATCAACTTGTGTAATAATCGCTTCCTAGGTGCTTACATTGTAAGGGAGGGGCTCAAGGACAAAGAAATTTAGAGACATTCAGGGAAAGGAGACTAAAGTAACATGAGTGTTTCACCTTTACCCCATCCAAAAACTAGGTCCACTGAATCATCCCTAGAGCAAGAAACTTCCATCAATCCTTACTAATTTTATAAGAGCAACTGTGCTGTTACCCATAACTACCTCCATCTGGGAGGAGGAGGTTCTGACAAAGCTGCAGGTTTGCTATGGTGATGTACATGACCTCAGCTTTTCCTGAAAGATTTACGCATGTCCAACCGCAGAAAATATGGTGAGTTATTGTTAGGGACCGAGAAGTTACAGTTTAGAAACAGACTAATACTTCAAAGTTTCAGGACCTGGCTAGGCTGAGTTTTGATGCTCCCATTGGCAAAGTATTTCATACGAGAGATGCCAATAACTAACTGCAACATCTCAACCACACAATTTAAGGCTGCAACACCAAAAAGCTGCAGGTTTGCTATGGTGATGTACATGACCTCAGCTTTTCCTGAAAGATTTACGCATGTTCAACCGCAGAAAATATGGCGAGTTATTGTTAGGGACCAAGAAGTTACAGTTTAGAAACAGACTCATACTTTTAAGTTTCAGGACCTGGCTAGGCTGAGTTTTGATGCTCCCATTGGCAAATAGTATTTCATACGAGAGATGCCAATAACTGCAACATCTCAACCACACAATTTAAGGCTGCAACACCAAACAACTATACTAGCAAATGTATTATCACAATAGCAGGAAAAACCTCATTTTCAAGACACTTTGTACAGATTCTTATAATCACTTTTTGCATTTATGAATCCATGCTGCCATCAACCCAGTTTCAGCTTATGTAATAAAACAGCTTTGTAATCATTATTATGTGCATAGATCCACATTTATAGAGCCAAACAATTCTGAAATATTTACAACAGAGTGAAAACTGAAAAGTCGTGGCCTATATGCATAGCTCAATGGATGACATTACCATATACACCCTCAACTCATGGCTAATTTGAAAAAAATCCACAGGAATGAAGTATAAACTCCAACACAGAACATGCTATGGACTTTGCAGGCAGTGGGAAGGGAGGAATAGTTTTTCACCCACAGAAAGCTCACAAGGAACAACTAAAAATCCTACATGTGCCACAGACTTGATAGAATACAAAAGGTTTCACTTTCGTATGCAAAACTGAGTTTGAAAAAACCACCAACTTTTTAAAATTACAACATCTCAACCAGGACTCAAGGGGCAAAACGCAGCATTTTTCCAACTAGCCTTTCACAATGATATTCCTTCCTAAGGACCCTCCAGAGTTCTCAATAAACTTTTCAAAAGTTCAAAAGGAACTCAGGGTGTTTGAAGGACATTGTGCAGAGACATTCTGATCCTGGCTCTATCTATGAGGTGCTGAGCGTCACACAACAATTGAAATTTAAGATACTGTGTTTAATATATAATTCACAATCTATCATTTATTCCTGAACTAGAATATGTAATTCTTACAAATTGTTTCAACAAGTCTTGTGGCTAACTCTGTATTAAGAGTGCACAACAGGGAAGGAAAAGCTAGTCAGAATACTATGAACTGTTGTTAACACACTATTCTGGTCACAATCCAGATAATCTCTACAAGTCTCCCTTATAAAATAAAGAGGGTGGGAGTGCTTGTGCTCAACCCCTTCAACACAAGATAATGAGAAGGGGGAGTGGCTCAATGAACAGAAGGCACACACACATAAACAAACCCTAGCTTCCTGAAAAGAAGCACTAAAAGCTCAAATGTAAACAAAACTCTTTTAAAAACACTTCCAGAATCAAAATATCAATACTATCAAAGTGATTTGTTGTTACCAGATTTCACTTCAGTGATGTTATAATAAAAAGTCAAGAATTACAAAGTTCCTTACTTACAAATCCAATATGTAAATCCATTGGGAGTTAAATAGCTAAAGCATTGTTAGAAATCAACTAGATTTTTATAAACAAGAACACAGAGTAAGCTCAGGAACTGTCACTCACTTTATGCACTAGGTTGTTTTGTCCATCTTACATATTTCAAGCAGCACTGGATTCTGTTGAAAATAAACCTGCAGAGAAATTAAAGATAATGTGACTAATATATTTAAAATGAAGGTCTCCCAATTCATTTGTTTAACAAATACTAAGAAAGACAAGTTTACTGTTAGTTATTACTAGAAAACGAATAACCTTTTAACATGTTAAAAGGAATTCTCTCATGCTGGGAGAAAGCTTAAGAAACCAATGCTATCAAACACACAGCACCAACAACAGGCATAGACACCTTGCCCCTGGTACAGTGCATCACCAGGCATGAGTACTACCACACCAGCACTGGGAAGCCCCAGATACGTTTTACACACACAATCTCGAAAGGCAGGGGTGAGGTGCTAAGGGAGAAGGCCTTTTTATTTATTTCATTTATAATCTGCCTTTCTCATTGAGATTTCCCAAATGCCGGCCTATCATACAGCATTGGTGCATAAATGGACCAGCAAAACATCACATAAAGGTTTAAAAAAGAAGTTTAAGAGGCATAACAAAGTTTGAGTCCAGTGGCACCTTTAACACCAACAAAGTTTTATTCATGGTATTGTAGGTCTTAAAGGTGCCACTAGCCTCAAACTTTGTTCTGCTCCTTCAGACCAACACAGCTACCCCACCTGAATCTATTAAAGAGGCAAGTGAAGCAGAGTAGCCCAAATCTGCACTACTTTCTATGGAACAAGACGCTGAACTCTCCTAAGCAGTGAGTCCGGCTGAAGTCTCAAGCAGGATTACACCTACCCTTTGAGAAACTAAACATGTTTTCAATGACTGTTAAGTCAGGATCCGCCATGTCCATAAAAATCTTCCCGTACTAACTCCAGCCCCAAGTTTACCACTAACAGCAGACTGGATGCTCTACAAAACAAAGTTGCTGTCTAGAAAGCTTAAATCAAAGTTGCCCTTTTACTTCTGTACATTCCAAACACTAGAACCCTAAATGCACTTATTAGGAAGTAAGTCCCAAGCAAACAAAAGATAAGCAGCCCGTTGGCTAAATACAATGTCAAGTATAAAATAGCAAGGAAAATATTGAATCACTAAGATACAGATTTCCAAGTATTTAGCTATTTGCCTTGAGCTGGAGACTGACATATGTTTCCACATGCAGAAGGACTTCTGCCTGCTGAATGTGAGCTTCCCACCTCCTGAGCTCTCCCAGCAGCTTAGAATGCACCCAGAAATCCTGCTTCTGGGTGGTCCCCCATCCCAAAAGAGGATTTCAGGGAGCATTTCAAGCTGCGAGGAAATTCACACTCTGCAGGCAGAACTCTTTGTACTGGCCGGGGAAATATCAGTTCAACTTTTTTGTTGTCAGAAGTGAAGGGTTGGATCGGACTAACAGAACTGAAAAAAAGTACACACATTCAAACTCCATATTTATCATTTACAACACACTAATAAATAGGTCAACGTGAATTTTATACAATACTTACAAAATCCAAGAGAACTGCAGAGATTGGCATTAACTCTTCGTGATTTGTGTTTTCCAGTTTGCCTCCCTTGTAATAATATCCCGAGTTCCTTAAAAATACTACATCCGTAGCTCTAGCTGATTCTTGGAAATCAGCTGCCCATTCTTCACATTTAAGGACTCCACAAAGTTACATCCAGGTCAGATAAATCTGAATTTAATAGCTTGTCTATTCTTTTGAAGTTTCTTCTCTTTCTTATTCCATGTACATCTCACTATCATGAGCATCAGTTCGAGAAGAAATAAATATACTTTTTATGACACAAGGAGCTTAACTGAAAAGTCAAATTCCATATCTGAAGTGAAGAGTATCTGTAAGTGTTATTGCAGGCATCTGCACGGGGCCATCCCCACTTCTTCCCAGCATTTAAAAAAATACAAAGGTGTCTAAAATTAAAAAAAGGCTAGCAAAAAGAAAGTCTCCTAGTCTCTTCATTTAGGAAGCAGGCTTCATTGCGAAATACTACCAATTCTAGACTACCTAAAAAACAAAGTCAAAATACCTGCCATAAACCACTAAAGCCAAAGTAGAATAATTAGCAGCTACATTTAATATAATCCTATAAACCTAGCAGACAAAACAAGTTAACTGTCGTTTTGCATGAAATTCTCAAACTAGAAAGTAAAAATAAGTTTTGAAAGTAACATGCAGTATTTAAGATTATCCAACTATCCATTCCATAGAGACAAAAATTAGTCCAAGATGATATCTTGCATTTTTGAGGAAGAGAGTTCAGGCTTACACAGCTGGGTTTCTGCAGACTTCACTAATGTATGAAGTAGAAAAGTAATTGAACAAGTTATAATCCCAGTCGCATTTTAGTCAATATTTTTTCATTTTAATTGAAGCCAAGGTTATAGGTCAACATCCAGTTAACTTCTCATTAGCTGAGGCACAGGTTGCAAAAGATCCAGACTTCTGTTCAGAATCCAAATAACCTAGGAGTGGGAGAGAAGAGAGATTCACACATTTCACTCAGATTTAGTTCCTAGACAGCTCAGAGCACACCTGTTGTTAATCTACTCTCAAAGAATCACTAATACTACCTTGTAACTGCGAACAAACAAGAGAAAAAGCACAGGGAAAGTTTGAAACTATTCAACAAAATAAACATTACCACAGTGAAAAAACGAGCTGAAGACAGAAGGAAAGGTTTCAACTCATGAATGAGAAAAGCAGTCGGTGGAGAAGTATAACTGAGGGAAATAAATAAAAAAAATCAAAGGATGACATTGTTTTTGCTCGTATGCAGATGCATAACAGGAAGACCAAAAAAAAGTTGGGGAAACAGTGGAGAAACTTACTGTTGTTTACCTAGGAGTAAGCACCTTAAATCCGTGGGAATTACTTCAGTATAGACATCCAAAGATCCACAAGCAACCCGGTTCGGAAACCGAAAGAGCTCGGACCCCAAAAATCTTATAAAATGGGAGGGGGGGGGCGCCGCCCGTGTTTTGTATATCTACGAGCAGGCGCGCGAGTTTCCTGCCAGGGCTTCGCTCTTCCTCCTCCCTCCCATTTTATAACCAGGTAAAGTCGGAGACCGAGTTCAGTTCCCAATTTCTTCCTCCTCTATAAATACGACGCGGGGGAGGAGGGGGGGGGTGTCGTTCACTTTCGCCCTCTCCTGTCCGAGATGCCTCACCAGGCCCTCCTCCTCGCGAAGGAAGCTGGGGCCAAACACCGTCTGGGTCTGATATTAAACAGGGGGGGAGGGGATGAAGAGGCCACATGCTCCGGACTTGAGGAGGAAGCGGGGGTGGGGGAGAGAGAGAAGAAAACAAGGAAGCTGTTGGGGAATTTATATCCCGGGCTGCTGCTCCCCCACCCCACCCACCTCCTCCCTCCCTCCCTTCCCCAGAGACGTTTTCCTTTCCTCTCTCTCCTCCTCCTCCCCCCC